CAGATCGTCCCCCATCAATAGCCAAAGGAAGGTTTGGGCTCTGCTAGGACCATCCCACTTCCAAATTATTTTCCAGTTGAAATTAGGCTGAGCAATTTGGGGTTTCCTCAACCTGTTGTAAGCTGATTTAACAGTGAAACATCCATCATTCGTGTCAGCCCAGCAAACTCGATCTTCCCCATTGTCTTGATTTACTGGCATGATGCTATCAATCAGCTCACCTACTTCAGGGTTGATCCACTCCCTCATTTTCTGCCAGTCCCAAGTACCATCATCTTTAACATAATTTGATACTTTTTCGTGGAGAAGGATCTCTGGAATTCCTCAGATAATAGCCCTTGGAGACTCTCTACATTCGGGATCCAAGGGTCTAACCAGAAATATGTTTTTTCACCATTACCCACAATAATTGTAGATTGAGCCTTTGCCTATGGCCAGATTTTCACAACTCCTTTCCAAAGATTGGAGCTGTTGTAAGAGGCTTTGATTCTGGGACTAAATTATTTCCCATCTTGTACTTATTTTTGAGGACTTGGACTCAGAGAGCATCATGCTTTGAGAGGATTCCAAAGCCAATCTTCATGAGAAAAGCTTTATTGACTTCTCTCATTGATTTAAGACCCAAACCACCATCTTCTTTCGGATTGCAAACTCTTTTCCAAGCCACATGATGGGGGCTATTTCCCTTATTCCCTGAATTCCACAAAAACCTTCTAGTAGTCTTTTCAATCTCATCACAAGTTCCTAGAGTTAGAAGGTTTGTTTGCATGGCATACATCGGAAGAGCAGATATCACTGATTGGGCCAGCATATTTCTTCCAGCCATAGATAGAGTTCTTTTCTTCCAAGACCCTAACTTCTGGTTCACTCTCTCCATGATGTGACTGAAGCTACCTTTTGTAGCTCTCTTGTGATGGAGGTTGATACCTAGATATTTACCTAGGTCACTTGTTAGGCCAAACCCCAACTCCTTACTCAGTTCAGCTGCATGGTTGTGATTTACATTTTTAGACATGAACACTTTAGTTTTTTCAGCACTAATGCTATGACCCGAGCTTTCACAGAAATAGTTAAGAATTTTTTTCATGATCCTTGCTTGCTTTAAAGACGCCTCACCAAACAACAGCAAGTCATCAACAAAAAATAGATTGAAGATCTGAGGACCATTCTTCCTTAAAATCACTGGCTTCCACTCCTTTTGCTCCACCACCAAGCTGATTAGATGAGCAAGCCGCTCTATACAGAGGACGAAAAGGTAAGGTGATAGAGGATCACCTTGCCTTACTCCTCTAGTCGGTTTGAATTCTCTCGTAGTAGCTTCATTCCACAACACATTCATTGTACAGGTTGACACACAGCTCATAATGATGTTTATTAGAAGCACTGGCAGCTCGATCTCTTGGAGGGTATCACGAATAAAATCCCATCCAAGTTTATCATAAGTTTTTTCCAAATCAACTTTAATGGCGATCCATCCCTTTTTTTCCTTTTTTGGATCTCATGGAATGGATGATTTCTTGGGCAATAATAATATTATCAGAGTTATGCCTCCCTTTCACAAAACTGCATTGGTTCGGCATGATCAGGTGATTCATGTGGTTCCTCAGCCTATTTGATATCAGCTTTGTAATGGTTTTGTAAATAACATTACAAAGACTGATAGGCCGAAGTTGTCTCACTGATTCGAGGCAATCAACCTTTGGTATCAGACATAGGAGTCTGATTGATAGCACTAATACTGCCATGATTAATAAAGGCTTCTTTCACAACCTCGCAAACTGTCTTACCCACCTTATCCCACTAAGCTTGGAAGAAGAGAGCATTTAGGCCATCAGCTCCGAGAGATTTATAGCTACCAAACTGAAACACCGCTTTTCTAATTTCCTCAGTCGTAGGCATGGCCATAAGCATCCTAAGACTTTGGGTTCGAAGCTTAAGAAAGCTCCCTTTCACAGGGAAAATCGGTTGGCAAATTATCTCCTCAGAATACAGGTTTTCAAAGTAACCATAAATCATATTTGCCAGAAATTTCGGATCCCCAATCCAGTTATCATTGCTATCCTTCAAAGAATCAATTCTATTTGCTCTTCATCTGGCAACTGTTGTGGCGTGGAAGAATTTCAAATTTCTGTCACCAAAATTGAGCCATTTTCATCTCGATCTTTGGTACCAAAGGATTTCTTCACGTAAGTATATCTCATTCAACTCCTTCCAGAGGTTGCTCTGCAGATCTTCTAAGTAAGAGTCATGATACTTGCTAAGCCTATCATCAATGCCTTCAAGCCTACCAAATTAGCTTAAACTTCCTATGATTAGCTTCCTTGTACGTCTCATTGTGCCACTTTGAAGCTTCCGTTTTAAAATTTTCACAAGCAAACCTCCAGATTGCATCTTCCCCCCAACAACTGTTAATAATGCCTTGAAAGGAATCACAAGTCAACCAAGATGCCATGAAACTGAAAGGTCTAGTGTTATTTGGATCCCGAGGAGGAATACCATTTAAGAGAATAATCGGACGATGATCAGAACTATAAAAGGGAAGGTGAGACAGAAACCTATTGGGAAAGCTCAGGTTCCAGTTATTATTGTTGCAGGCTCTGTCTAATCTCTCAAATAGTTTTCCCCTTTTCCAAGTATATTTTGGTCCTTTGAACCCGATGTCTGAAAGGTTACAGTCATCCAAACAGTTCTGAAAATCTTTCAACGAAGCCCAATTTAGCTTAAGGCCTCCAGTCTTCTCCTCTATTTTCAGATAAGAGTTGAAGTCTCCCATTGTTGTCCAGGCATCATGATTGCCTATACTCAGGTCTTGAAGGCCCTCCTAGAGATTTCTTCTCTCAATGCATCTAGGACAAGCATATATGAAAGTTATCATCTCTACTTTTCTGGACTCATTCCAAACGAAGGACGTATGTATAAATTGATGATGAGAAGAGAGAATACTGATTTTCACCTCCTCATTATTCCACAAGAGCCACAAGCCTCCTGAGAATCCAACAGCCTCTTGGATATGATGAATATTGAAGCCCAACTTGGAAATAAATCTTTTAGCTTTAACCTCGCTAATCCGAGTTTCCATAAGGCAAAGAACCTTAATTTTAAACTTTTTCGTCATATCTTGGAAAAGGGGGGTCAGACCTTTCTTGCCTGCTCCCCTTACGTTCCATGTGCACACTAACATAAAAACACTGAAAAGGTAACCAAACGAACCCATCCGAGGATAAGTTACTTTTTGATCTCTGAGAAGATCTTGATACCACCCAAGGTATACAGGTTTTCATCCACTTCTTTCCCTTCTGCTGATTGAGAGAATCTTCTCATCACTTCCAGAGCATCCAGAGACTTAGGGTGTGCATGACAACCTTCCCGGAATCAATTTTTTTTTTTTTAATTTCTGCTCCCGGGAGCAGAAATGGATAGAAAACTCATTTGATAAAATCGGTTTATTTTTTTGTTCCCGGGATGAACCGGTTTAATTTTTGTGCTCGGGAAGAGAAAAAAGAATCAAAAAATTTCTGCTTTTTGTTCCCAGACACAAAATGAGAAACACTTATCTCTCTCAATTACTCTCCACTGCTACCATCATCACCACCGCCACCACCATTCCAACACGACCACTGCCACCATTACCGTACCACCACCATCACCACCACCACCACCATCACCAACCACCATCACCACAATCATCGTAGCCACTGTCATCACCACTACTATCGCCATCATCATCGCTGCCACTGCCATCGCCACCACCACTACACCGCCGCCGCCACCATGTCATCAGCATTGTCGTAGCCACTGCTGTCACCACCGTCGCCACTACCATTATTATGCCACCGCCACCATCATGTCATTATCATCACCATCGTCGCATCCACCACCATTACTGCCGCCGCCGCAACTATGCCACCACTACCATTATCACGCCATTGCCACCGCCACCACCATAACCACCACCATTGCCACCATTATCACCACCATCGATGCGCCACCGATGTCACCACCACCACCTCTACGTCACCGCCATCACCACCACCGTCACCACCATTATTACTACCATCATCGCCACCATCGTCACAGCCACTACTATCACCATTACCACCACTACCACCACCGCCACCATGCCATCACCACCACCACCACCGCTACTGCCACCGCCGCCACCACCACCATCATGCCATCACCATCACTACCACCACCACAGCGCCACTACTAGACCACCATCATCGCCATCATTACCACCACCATCACCATACCATATGAAAAGGAAAGTGATGATCCAAAAAAATTTTATGCTTAATACGAATATTTTTTATTCTATCATTTGTTACGTTATCAAACACAATTCTCATTCTCGGAATAAAAATAAAACATGTTATCAAACACATTTTTTTTCTCAGAAACTATTCCAAGGCACAGAAATAGAAAAGAATTGTTTCTTTTCAGAAATAGTGCCAGAGAACAGAATGGTTGTCATGCACACCCTTACCATCCGGGTTAACATTCTCCTTCGCTTCCTTGATTGGACTAGCACACTGCTTCACCCCTCTTGATACTGATGGGATTTCTTTGGTGTTGTCCATTGGAGCATTCTGTTTCGAGCCTTTGGACACTAAAAGGGGTTTTTTAGTGGCCATATTAGACCTTTGGGTTGGTTTGCTAATTGCTCGTTCAAGCCTAAGTTTGATAGGCCCAATTTTGCTAGGTTTTGGGCTTTTGGTTTTCTGAGTACCAACTTTTTCCAGCCTTGGGACTTTCACAAAAGCATTAACCTCAGGCTGTGGGGTCACACTTTGAATAGTATTTACCTGATTTTCTGTCATCGCCGTCACTGACATTAGCTCCTTGTCATTCGGCGCACGCACCTCCTCTGTCTCTCTGATACTTTCGAAACGTGAGCCAGTGGCTTTGGCTGCATGGACCTTGGAAGACCCGTAGCTTTCCTTTTACTTTGTTTTGTCAACTCTTCCACTGTTCATCTTCTGTTTCCCCCTTGCTTCTTCTCAAATTTGCTGAGCTTCTCTGGTTTTTCTCCCTCTTGCCGGCCGGTGGACAATCATCCATTCCCCAAAAGGTTCCGTTGCTGTGTTTAAGAAAACCTTCATACTGTTAACTCCTGGAACCTTTGTTTTGACTTCTTTGTTTCCCTCCATTGAATCCTTAACTTGCACTTCCGGATAGACATCTTTCCTATGCCCATATCTTCCACACCCAAAGCATATGAGATGCAATCCTTCATAAGCTACATGAAAAGTTCTATTCCCTATTTTAAATTTTGACAGGAACTTCTTGGTTAGATCAACTTCCACACAGATACGTGCAAATTTTGCGCGTTCTGTAACCTCTTCCACATTGGATTCAGTCTTGCTAATAGAGTTTTTATCTATTATCAATGATCTTCCAAACATATTTCTTATGCTCCACAGAATATGGGATGTGTACAGTTCAATTGGCAAGCCTGGTATCCTGATCCATATAGCGAGCTTCTTAAGGACTTCGTCATAAGGGTCGAACATAGGTCTCCACCTTTGAACAGTTACATAGTGGTCAACAATAATCCAAGGACCATCTTGAAGAACATGCATATAATCCTTCTCATCCATAAATCTGAACAGGAAATAATCATTCTCCAAGTCTATGAATTCATAAGCCCCTAATATGCCCCACATTTTCAGCAATCTACCCAAGAGGAATTTGACATTTAGCCTCTTAACTAGAAGCTTCATTATCAGAGCATTTCTCCATTTTTTGCAAGCTTCTTTGTGAATCTCCTTCGGTACCCTGAAAGAAGGACATAAAGGATCATCTTCTTCAACATTCACCACCTCTTCATCTACTTCTTCCTCTTCCTTTTCTTCTCTCATCTGTTGAGCCATCCAGTGCTCTTCTTCCTCTTCTTCCCCTCTAGCTCCATTAAACTAGAGAAGGGTATCTTTGTAAGACACCAGTTTTCTTCCAGGAGAGTCTTCTTTGGAGTTTCGATTCTCAGTCTTGTCTTCATTCAATGTTTCTCCTACTACTGCTGCAACAGCTTTTGCCGCATCCACCATTGTTACCTCGCCCCTTCCATCAACCTTTGGTTTCTCAACGCTTCTTTTCAGCAAGTCATCATCTTCAATTCATTGCATGACACCCGCATTCTCCTCAGAAATACCGGTTCCCCCCGAAGCCCTAGCAGACACCATCTTTTTTAGGGAGGACCTTACTGAAATGCAGTATCCTTATCATGATCATTTCATGCAAAACGATCCTAATTATTTATAAAATAATTAATTGTGATAGAAATAAAAGAGAAAATATTATAATAAAGAGTGACAAAATTATCAACGTTAATTTGTTCATAAATGGTTAAAATTCTCTCATATTTTTTGATAATCTAAAAAATTAAAATCAAATAATTGACAAAGAACCATTTCAAAACTTATGATGGAAAATTCGCTTGAACAAATTCTTTTATTCAAACAAAGATATTTTTAATATAAATAAAGATTTATATATGAATTATTACTATTAATCTTTTACTACTATTTTCCATCTTACATGAAATATAATATGATCCTTTTATATTTATTTAAAATTTTATATGACTTAATTGCTTATAATTTTATATTAATTTATTATTTAACAATTATATAATATTAAAACATTTAATTAGTTATTACCAGTGTCTTATGAGTAATGACCAATTCAATTTTTAAAATAATATTTTTTCCACAAAGGCGTGGGTTGAATCCTGATGGTCGATGTGAAGATTTATTGGTAAATGATATGTAATTTCTTCCAATAATTTAAAAAAAAAAGTAAGAGGTCTACTCTGATTCTCATGGAATACCGATATCTTACGCTACTTAAACTTTTGTGAAGCTATAAAATAATGTTTTTATAAATTTATCAAAGTATACTTAGCGCGAGTTAGCTTAAATGCTTAATTACCACGTTCAAGCCCTAATTGATTTTTCTATTACAGAAAAATAATTGATTTAAAGCCAAATCATAATCCGAATATAATTATACCATGTTCATCCTTTTCAGTACCATCATTATGAAAGATTTAAAGTATAAATTCTATATCCAACTCAAACATAATTATCCCTATATAAAATACGTGTGGTTTATTTAAATAAATAAATAAATAATCCAGTCAGAAGACTCATAAAAGAAAATAGAAAAAAAAAGACACCGATACGCAGTCGTTTCAGTAGCTTTCCTTGGGGCATTTCCATCTTCCACTAGCACCAGCGCCACAACACTCTTCTCTCTCTCTCAAATTCGGAAGCCATGGCCTCTCTTGCTCGTGGAGCAGCATCTCTAAGCCGCATTACTATTTCCACTGCCAAATCTCCCGTTCAACTCATCCACCGCCGAGGTCTCGCTGGAGCTGCCGGTAATCTTCCACTTTTTTCTTTCGCGATCCCGTTTACCATTCCATCAAAATCTATGGTGTTTTTTTTTTTATTTTGGGTTTAAAATTCCTCTAATCCTGATTTTTTATCGTATTTCCGGTCTATGCGTTCACAATAATTTCGTTTCCCTTTCTATTGGATGGCCGGTAATTTTTACAAAAACCTAGGAATCGGTGGGTGGATTGAATTTTGAGAAAGCTGTGATTGGAAGATGGTTTTTTGTTGATAAATATGAGATTTTAAAGTTTCAATTTTGGTTTTATTATTATTATTATTATTTTGAAATATTAACTGGGAAATGAACAAGGTGGGAAAAAGGGGTCTTGGGTAGGGGAGGAAAGGAGAGTCTAATGGTTATAAATGGTACCAAAAAAATATAAGTAAATAATTGAATATTTTTTTATCTATTTGGTTTTCATGGTGTTTAGAAACCCAAGTGAATATAGTTCAATCAATAGGTGTTTGGTCTTTCTATTCTTTGAATTCTGTGAAGAAATTGATTTTGTGTGTTTTGGGTTTGTGTTTAGTATGCAATTCTGACATCTGTGGAATGGATTTATCGTTTGACTATTGCAGATCCCCATGGCCCCGCTAAAGTTAACTTCTGGCAAGACCCAATGAGCCCTTCTAAATGGAAGGAAGAGCACGTGAGTCTCTAGTTTTGTGTTTGAAGATCTACTGCACCCAATTTAAATTATTGGTTTTTACCGTGAGATGATTGGATCATTATATTGGACACTGAATGTGTGCGAGTATTCTCTTGACTGGTTGGTTTGTGCTTGCAGTTTGTGATTGTCTCTTTAACTGGTTGGGGACTACTATTCTTTGGGGGATACAAGTTGTTTACAGGAGGCAAGGGCAAGAAAGAAGAGGTACTTTCAATTTTCGTTTTCATTGGTACAACTAAGAATACCATTTATCAGCTTGTTGTAGGCTCGTAGCTACGTTCATTATGAATCTGTTAACCTTGTTTGCTGTGACTGATTTATGCAATGCTGTTTTTGCTGTCTGTCATAAGAATATTTATTTCGCACCATTTACCATTCTAAAATATTTTCACGGTCTTTTGTTCATAGCCTGTGTACTGCACAATACATCCGTAGTTTGGGAAAATTCTCCACAAGACCACAATAGTTTTGAATTTGATGATAAATATCCAGTATTATGCATAAATGTGAGGTAAGGCTGTGTGCAATCCTCCAACACCCCCACCCTCACAAAGTTGAGGAGCCTTTGTACATTGGGGTTTGCCCTTTATAAATCTCCAGTATTTTGTTTTAGGTTCCTGCTGAACGCTAAGGCAACTGTAGGATTTTTCATTTGACAGTTAAGAAATAAGATTTTATTATTTCATGAAATGTTGTTTTGGTGCTTCAACTATGCTGTCACTGAAGACAGTTTGTTTTTGAGAAGCAATATTGTAAGGCAGTATAATCAGATGAGCTCAGAGCGTGCAATACTTCAATGGATCAGTAGGTCTGACAAACAGATAAACTATTACTTGTATTTCTCAAGTGCTTTTTTAATCTTATAATGTTCAATTTAGGGTAATGAAAACTTATTCAAGCACAGCTGCTGTTGGTGCATTTTATCATATTGGCCACACAAAAAAAAGTCTAGAACGTTATAGAACAGTTATATTAAAGACATTTTTGTGTTTACCAAAAAAAAAAAAAAAGACATTTTTGTAAGTGAACTTTCTAATCATAATTAGATTAGATGGCCGGTTTTGTCTTTTAACAGTTTAGTGTACTGTCGTGTTAATCACATCTGTATCTTATTTGGGACGTGTTCAAATTTTAGTCTTTGCTAACTAATGCTCTGCTCTGAATATTTCCAGCAACTGGTGAAAGCACCACACTGAGGTTTGGAGCATATTTACAACCCGAAGTGTTCCTGGTAATAAAGTGTGTGCCCGGACTTTTCCGAGTTTTTTGGACTCAGTCTTGTTTGCTGGCAAACAAATCTTTTGGCTAGTTATTCATTAATCCTCACAGTGAATGAATATTGGGAGATGATTCTTTCCAGAACAATGTGTTAAATTTGACTTTATATTTGCACATTTTATGCCAATTCATGCGTTCCTCTCCATTTGCAAGCAATTACTTTTGTTGACATTAACTACCCGAAGGAAGCTATGTTATGTTCTTATTTTATCTATACATGAATGATCCTCGCACCAAGGTCGTAAAGAGTAATTCATTTTCTCACCATAATAGTTCGACCGAAATAGTCATTTTCTCTTCATCAAAAGATGATATTTGATAAATTAAATCTCATACGGCGTGCAATTTCAGGAAACCTTGGCGTTCTGCTTTGTGTTTTGAACCCCATCTTGCATGCCTACTATTCTCAAGCATGATATCTAAGCCTGCGAATGATGAAATTCTGAGGTGGTGCCAAAGGATGGTCATTTGAACAACCATAACCATGCTTATTTGACTGGTATCAGTATCATGAATGTTGGAAAGTTTGAGTAAAAGGAATTAGTCCAAAATTTTGGTAAAAGAAATTAGTCCAAATGAAACGAGTATCTGAAATTACTGAATACAAATAGGGAAAAGGAAGTCTGGTTTCTCTGAAATCTACTTCTTAAGATGATACACCCTTTTATGTCAGTAATATGAAATATTTCCAAGCACACCAAACCCACACCCACTATTCTATATAGAGATGGACATGGTAAGTACAGTTTAATTACAAACCCGGTTGAAACTCTGACTATTCTATCTCTTCATTGTACTCCTCCTTCTCATCTTCAAATGCAGAGTGGGATTCCTTGACGAAATCATCATCAGTATCCTTGTCCTCATCACCATCATCAATCGCATCTTTCTCTTTCTTTCGTACATCCGAAACCTCAAATTCTTCAGACTCTTCATGAAACATGTTGGATTTTGTTTGCCCTGCATTCTTGTCAGCTTTGTTGATATGTCTCCTGCTCCAGTTTTGTTGGACATGACTGTCTTCATCCTCTTCTGTCTGTATTATTTCATCCAGTCTCTGTTTCTCTGGGTGAGTATTAATGCCATTATTTGTCACCTGGTGATTTATATTATTCACTGTCATGTTTTTGGCATCTTCTTTGTTTTCATGGTTTTCAGGCTTCAGCAATTTGGCCTCTGGCTTGTCTTTTCTTGGATTATTATTGTCTCTTCTCTTATCCTCTCTAGCAAAATTTTCCTTAGCAGAGACTCTCCCAACTATTCTATCCTTCAACTCATCCTTCTCATCTCTGTAAGCCTTTCTATTGCCCATGTTTGTCTCATCATGACTTTCGAAAATTCCATTGTTCTCCATTAACCTGTTCTTGACAATGGCTCTCCAGCGCTTCCCTTTTGTTCTACTTACATGGCCATGTTTCCTTTTCACGCCAGCCAATTGTTTCCCATTGAAATCCTGACCTCTACCATCAAATTTTGCAATTGGCTTCTCTTCTCTGATTGCTTTCTTTTCTCTACCATCCATCACTACAGCCTCAATATCTTTGGCAGTGACATCTGCACCACCATCATCTTGAGGGTCTTCAAATTTCTTTCCTAGCTCCTCATCAGTCTGAATTTCATCTTTTATTTCAGCTGTAACCTCGCCATCTTTGAACTTGGTTAATTTGCTTTCACTTGCATCTTCATTTGTAATACCCTTGTCATCATCACCCCCATATTTTGCAGACTCACTAGAATTTCCATCTTTTTCTTTATTATCATTCTCAGTTTCATCTTGTGATGCCATTGTTCCATTTGCTGTCACAATTTCTGAAAAGATGGTTGGATGATCATTAATGCTTACCTGGTGGTTCTTAAGTAGGATTTCAAGACGGTGCTTCAAGTCCTTTATCTCTGCTTCCTTCTGCTTAAGATTCTCTCTTAGTGCTATTATTTCAGAGCTTCCTTGTCCCAAATTGCTTCCCTTTTCTTGCATCATTCTGAGCTCATTCTGCTTCTCCTCAAACGCGGATTCCATCACTTTCTGCTCATCTTTCAGTGAATCCATGGTGGATTGCATCTCCGCAACTGTTCTAGCAAGCTCCATCTTTTGACTTCTCAGGGCGTATATTTTCGCTTTCATCTCTTCGTTCTTCCCTCTCAACTCTTTGGTGCGATCTCTTTCCTTCTATGTGATTGAAAAAACCAAAGAGTAACATAACAAAGTCACTGCAGGTCTAATTAATGCACTTCACTACTTTCCTAACATTTGCAGAATTGAAAGGATATTGAAAATGCAACATCTTCATTATTTTTCATCCTAGCTAGAAATTTTTGACAATGCACCCCAAAACAAAACCAAAAGGATAAAGAATAATTAACTGATATTTCAGGCTGATTTGATTTGAAGTGTTCTTCAAATTGGGTGGTTAGTTAATGATCTGATTAATTCATCTGGGACTAAGCATTATGAGAATTGACAGATTAGAAAAGTTCGAATCACTAGTCCCTAAAACTGCTCAATACAGCAAAGGCAGCATCTTTTCTTGAACTTGGCTCTAACTAAAATTTTTAATGCATGTAGCTCCATACGTGTCATGATGATTCCATAACACGTAAAAGTGAGAAACAGAACCCGAGAGAGAGAGAGAGAGAGAGAGAGAGAGAGAGAGAAGACTGAGAAGAGTAACTGACCTGCAAGAAAAGCTGAAGGGCAAGAAGCTGATGGTCTTTCTCTTTGACAACAAGGTTGTAGATGCGTCTCTCTCTGAGCTTGTGAAGCACCATGACACCAAGCAATGCAACCCCAAATGTGATTAGTAATATCAACACATATGGCCTTCCTCTATTATTCCCTCCATTGCTGCTATGAAACCCTTTGTTGTAAGCCATCTCTTTCTCTCTCCCCCCAGAGAGGTGATGATCAAGAACACAATCAACTCAAGTATGAATGGCTTGTTTCTTCTTCTTTTTTCTAGTACTTGGAAAGGAATAATGAATAATGGGGTGAGTCTCTTTCTCCTTCTCTCTCCCTAAAGATTTCAAATTTGTGACTTAAAGTGCTGATTTTGGGTTGCTTGTCATGCAAAAAGAACGTGCCACCTACTCAAACCTGGCGTTCTATCTGTGGATGCTGAGTTGCATGGAAATTGTGTCAGGGCACAGATTCTGGGACTGCCATTTTCTGTTTCCCATGTTCTCATTTTGACCATAACATAATAACACCCTCCTAAATAAATTTTGTTCTTTTAAGATACTTTGTTTCAACTTTAGTATTTGTTAGTAACTTAATATAACTGCATTTTTATAATATATAATTAAAATTATATTTACTGTTACAACTATAAATTAAAAGATTTATTCAATCAGTGACTTAATGTCCGATCCAACTTAATTAAAACGGTTGAGTTGCTTTCGGTTAACGATATCATCATAGTCATAGTGCTCACGTGGGAAGCACAGGATGATGGGAGTACAGCTATTTCATTTATACGTTATTAAATGATGTTACTAAAATCCTTGGTGGGTTATATAATAAATAAATATAGTTAAATCATTTTTAAAAATAATAAATGAGTTTTATACGGTAACTCATGCTATTCTCTCTCTTTTTTTATACAAACTCATGCTATTCTCTTATGTCCTTTTTTTCGTGTGAATGCTGCTTTGTTCTGAGTTGTTGCATACTTGCATTCATTACAAAAGTTATGTCAAATAGCAGTTTCCTTGTTTTTTTCTGTGTGCTATAACAGGTTCATTAATATTTAGTACAATATTTTACACTAAAACTTTTTCAAATTCGAGGTACAAATTAATCCGCGATTTAGAATGATATAAATTAGAATATATTTTCAATATTTTAAATTGATTTAATTTACGATATCAATAAAGAAACCAACACATTTATACAAAATATCAATTATTTCTAAGAACACAGCCATTAGTGGCATAAGCTTCTTTCTTTTACCAACTCACATTCTACTTTCAAATAATAAGGTGAATAATTAGGTATAAGTGGTATTCCTAATAATGTTATATTGGATCTATGAGTAACAATCAATTTCCACTGTTTTATTTTATAATATTATTCAAAATTGGTTTTACTTTGTTGTCATATGTCGTTAGCAGTAAATGTGGTAATTTTCAACACGACCCGCTGACAATACATGAATATGACACAAGAAATTCGTGTTCGCGTCGACCTGTTTTCAAATTTGTGTTGTATTCGGGTTGGCAAAAACTGACATGCCAAAATGTGTGTCATGTCGTGTGTCAACTCGCGAACCCAAAATTGACCAGTGTTAATCTTCCTATTGGTTATTCGTGTCGTGTCGTAAACATGTTATTTGTGTCTAATCGTGTCGTGTTGACTAGCATAATAAGTAACACAATCTGGGGTTGATAGGTTATTTGTATCGTATCGTGTTAACCTGCATAATAAGCGACACACTATGAGTTTACGGGTTATTCGTCTTGTTCGGGTTATTCGTCTTGGTCGTGTTCGTGCCGAATGTTTTAACCCGATTTCAAATTCATCTCATTCATGTTGAGTGTATTCGTATTCATGTCAAATTCGTGTCATATCGCGTTGTCCCATATTACCACGCATGCGTGAAACCGAAAATAGCGACAAAGGGGATTTGCGTCGGTTAGTGAATGGAACAAGGATGCACTTCTAGACAAAGCACCACTAGTTGTTAGATGGATTGAAATGTGAAAATACAATACTTAAGGCATTAAAACATAAGTATAAAAGGCGTCTAACTACTGCCCGTCGACCTGACTAAACCAGTGTCTATTCTAGGGCCTGCACCTGCTCACCAGGTGTTTGATAAAAGGTCTGTGAAAAAGCTGGGTCTTGAGGAGTCACTGAATATCTTTTGCATTCTACAGGAGGATGATTCTGACTCAATAGAAGAGATTTCCTCTTCCAAAGGCACTAATGAATCACTTCCTAATCAAGTAATGAACCCTCAAGTGAAGAAGAAAGATGATGAGTCAACTCCCTGGGCGAATCTCTTCAAAGATAATCGACAACCTTCAAAAGGTTTCACCTTGCAATACTCACCATAAAACTCTGATGATGAACTCTTGCTTGAGAAGAAAGATGTTAAAGCCCTTGAAGAGATTTGGGGATTAAGCTTGATAGGGTATGCTGCAGATCATTTTCCAGGAAAGAAAGCCATCCTCGAAGCCTGCCAGAAATAGGGGAATGCCATTCTCTTATTTAGTTCATGAGAGTGGATGGCTAGTCTTCAAATTCAATGATGAGAAAACATGCATAAAGTGCTGGCCAAGGGTCCTTACTTCATTTTTCAACGCCCTTTGCTCATGAAAATCATGTCACCTTTCTTTGATTTCAGTAACGAGGAACTAAGCTGCTTTCCAGTTTGGGTGAAGGTTCGTAATCTACCTTTGGAACTTTGGAATTCTCATGCTCTGGGAAGAATCTTATCTCGGGTTAGAGTTCCTCTTGACACTGATAATCTTACAGGATCCATGGGGTCTATTTCCTTTGCTAGGGCACTTGTGGAGGTCGATGCAGCCAAAGATCTCATATATAAAGTTTGATTCAAACTTCCTAGTGGGATATTGAGGCTTCCACTTGTCTCTAAAGCATCAAGGGATGCAACATTTCCTTCGCAGTAAGGGCGTGGATGTTATGGCTATTCTGGAAACAAAACTTAATCTTAACTTTATTATAGAGATTACGCAGAAAAAGTCTAATGATTGGGATTTTACCCATAATTTTGCTATTAATAATACAGGTCGTATTTTGGTTATGTCAAAGTCTGGCCGGGTGGTCCTCTCTGTGTTAAAAGCTACTGCCCAATTTATTCATTGTTCTATCAGGTACAAAGTATCAGCTAAGCAATTCCAGGTTTCCTACATCTATGCCTTTCATTCTGTGAGCACCAGAAGGCCTTTTTAGGATAGCCTTGTCTCTTTAGGCTCTTCTTTGGATAGTCCTTGACTTATTTTGGGTGATTTCAATAGTGTTATGTCTCCTCAAGACCATATCAATGGGTCTCCCATTTTAGCCTATGAGATGCATGATTTCTTCAATTGTTGCTCAGATTTGGCCCTTGAGGGGATGAATAGTCATGGCTCTTTTTTTCATGGATGAATGGGAGGGTTTGGAGCAAATTAGACCACGCTTTGCAATCAACAATGGTTTAATATATTTCAACACTCTACTACAGAAATTTCCAACTTTGAATCTATCTCTAATCATACCTCTATTGCTATAGTCACTTATATGGTTTTTATGAGAGGTAACACTCCTTTTAAATTCAATAATGCTATTGTTGATCATACATCCTTCTCTTCCATTGTTTCAGAGCATTGGGATTGTACTTACAATGGCTGGAAAATGTTCTTGGTATAGTTGTCAATAGCAGTTAGTGGCCAACCCCGAAAATGGTATAGTGGAGTAGCGGGTAGCGGTATTGCCGCTACAGTGAAGTATTAATGCCAGATATATTATACTAACAGAACAGTCTAACAAATATAAATGCACAACTCTGACCATCAGTCCACCCATGCTCTAGTTATATATGCCATGCATACTGTTATTGTGTATTTATTGTACATATATTAATATTGTGTGGCTGTTTGTAGGCATTGCAAAAAGAAACTGAGCGGATCAAGTACCAGTGGAATATGACACCTAAGGAACCATTTAATTAGGTGTCAGAGAAGATCTAACCATAGCATAGCACAACAATACATTATAGCTAGAAAAAAAAGGGGAAAGGAAGGGACTCTTGCAATTGCAAATTTCAATGTAAATCAAGCTTTGAACAAAGATAATGCCCTTAACCTTGTGAATATTAAATTATTTTTTATTTTGTAAATGTGAATATCAAAATTTGATCAAACACAGTTGATAATTTGCAAAACAAGTTTCTTTATTGTAATCGTCAATTATTTGATATGCGTTGTGCTACAAATGTTCTTAACATCATGGTTCAGCATGCTTTGGGAGTTGTAGCCTGCAAGTGAAATAGTCAATAATATTCGAGAAATTATTCATTATATTAAAAGTTGAGAAACTATTCTTTACATTAAAAGTTCACAAACTTATATCAAAAAAACTGCACAAACTTGTATCCAAAAAAAGTGCACAAACTATACTGGCACAATGATATAGTCAAATGAAATACAAGTGAACTAATGAAGAAAATCATCATCTCCGGGTTCTCCATCAAATTCCAACAAATCTTCTCCCTCACTTTCATCTTCACTTGAACTAAGCTTATAAATGTGCTCTTCCTCATCATCAATTTCTTCATCAACAACTTCATTCATCACTGCCAGTCCCCTGGAGCTTAAAAATAAAGGCCTAGATACAATAGGTACAACTTGGTTAACCATTCTTGTTCCTCTTGTCTGCAGCCTTATGTATCTTAGAGGCTCTCCAACCCCACTTGCATCAGCAACAACTCCCAAAGTCAAAGTATCATCATAAAAAATATTCTTATCTTCAGCATTATCTTCACCCACTTCTCCCACCAACCACTGATTGATGTCATCAATGTCTTTTAGGATAATGGGATCAATCACATCATGACTGTCATAGCGATGTTTAAGAGCTTGATTGTACTTAATAAAAACCAAATCTTGCAACTTTTGATGCTCCAGCCTACTTCTGTTTTTGGAATGAATCTATTTCATAATTAACCATAAAATATGTTAGTTTCTTTGCTTTATAACCCATATATCAAATGTAACTATATAGAAAATATTACGTGTTCAAAAGTACTCCAATTGCACTCACACCTGGATGAGCTACAAGCCAAACTCAACACCTTAATGGGAAAGTCTCTCAAATTTGAAGTTTGAGAGCCATACAACTTCCACCATTGAGCTATAATGCCATAAGAAGCGTTTATTGTTAGCAACTTAGCATTAATAATTAATAACAATAAA